ACGTTTTGTAGCAGATGCTGACGCTTGGTTCTGTGGGGGCTAGCGAAGCGCTGCCAGGCCTGGTAGCACTGGGGGAATAGGAAAGCATTCAGAGGAACGCTCTGTGTGTTTTCAGACAAACCCCACAGCCGTTAGCTCTGTGTTAAGTGACACCTCGCTAGACGTGGCACTGCCTCTGCGTACGGCTGGCAGTCACTCCGACAAGGATAAGCAAATATGCAGTATTTGCTTTCAGGTAGGCTGTGGAGAAAACAGGAACAGGTTCCGTTGTTTGCTGCCAAGTCTCATACGCTTTCAAGACCGCTGGCCTCTCGAATGAGAGGGAGGACTTTTCCGCCATCCGGGTGCGCTGGGTTGTGCCTGGAAAGCAGTGCTCAAGCAGGCTCTAAACGGTGCACGCTAACTGCTCAACTACATTTTTCTTCTAATTATTTGAGCCATCCTGAAGGCGAGGGGCAAGGACAGCAGATTGGCTAACAGTTATAATTAGAAGCATCTGACGAGCTGGAGGAAGCACTTGTGAAATGTTCCAGCACCTTGCTGTGGTGGCAGCCTGTATTAAGCCTGGGAAGGGAAACAGAGCCCATCCATACAATGAAAAGATGGTAACTGACAGTGAGCTGTGCGCCCACCCCTCTGTTACAGGAGGCCACCCGCTTCCCACCCCCACACACACTTTATGGATCTCCTGTTACTGCTAAACCAACCTTTAGGGTTTTTATGTAACCATGCCCCATCCTGAAACCCAGGCTGGCTTCCCATGCTTCGTTGTGTACGTGCTTGCCTGCTTTCATGGCCTCCAGCGCCGCGTGGTTTTAGATTTACTCACCGCCTTTAGTAGATGGTCGCATGCATATGCCATGTGGCTGTGCAGCAGCCTAGCAGACCCGGTTTGTGTAGTGGCCTCTGCAATATGATTTAGTTTGTCTTAGGCGCTGCCTCTGGGCCAAATTGCAGGGAAGTAGTGACTGCCCTTACATAAAGTTATCATCTCAGTTTGTGCTTTTTACAATTTATACGGCTCAGAAGTATCCATACAACAGATGAGATGCATTAAAGTTGTATTTATCCCTCAGGTATATTTTTACCTAGATGATAACTGTATGCAAACCCTTAAATCATTGCCAGTCCATGGGCATGGTAGCAACATCTAGCTTCCCCTCTAGTTCCTGCTACCCTTGCAGTAAAGGCATAAAATACTGCAAAGCAAGTGTGACTAGCTATGAGTACCAGGGCGGGTAGTCAAACCTGACTAGAACCTAGCCACCATGCTCCCAGCTAGTACAAGCTGCAAAATGGTGCTACGCCAGCCTTCCTCCATAGAGCTGGAACTACCTTGGACGATTCCCAGAACAAGGCTTTAACGAGAGGACGTGAACTGTCTCGAAAAATAGAGAAGGCCAGCACTGCACCTAGCGGGGGGGAGGTGAACACATCGTATTGATGACTCTGGTTTTCGGTTCTCTCTTCCCATGAATTACAGGGAGCGCACCCCTGCCCCGACTGGCAGGAGGGCCAGTACTAGCAGCAGATGAAGAGGTTGGTTACTTCTCTGATCAGCTTAACGGGACCTGCCTGCCTCCCCCCCAAGCCTGCAGTACCAACAAAAAGCCTGCTCCTTCTAGCCATGCTGTCAGCCTCCCTTGCGTACCTGGCCACGGAGCATGCAGCTGCAGGGCCTGCTACCCTGCTCTCCACAACACTGAGGAGTGGAAAGACTGACAAAGAAAGGTACCCTTAAAGTAGTTTTAGTTTAGGTTGCAGGTTTATTGTGGAGTCAGCTTGCCTCAGCAGTACAGAAAAGGCAAAAAAAAGGAGGGAGGAGGAAACAAAAACAAAACGAGAAAAACCCCTCAGGCTTCAAAGCACTGTTGCATGGGGTGCTTTCATCATATATGCTGTGACCTGCAAGGTAGATGACCAATAAACAACGCCCACACAAGAAAGGTTAAGTAATGGCTTTGAGTATTGCTAAGTCATGCTAAATACTTAAAATACTGTTCTTTCCAGCTCCCTCTTCTGCAGCTTGTAACCAACTAAAGCTTATGGTTACAACCAAATAGTAATTGCAGCATTATTTGCAAGGAAAGCCAGTTATCCTAAGCACCAACGCACTAAGATGTAGCAATATGGGGCAGAAAGAAGAGGGGAGGGACAACACAAAGCCAGGACAGTACCAAGTAATAACCTTAAGAAAGAGTGGCAAGCAACTATGATCAGCTATGAAGGACTTGACTTACTTAAAAGAGGTAGGTCTAAGCGCCAGTAGTGCACAGGAAGCCTGCCTTTGTCAAGTCTTGTCTGAGGACTAATTATCGTTCTTCTAATAGCTAGACTACTTCTGAAACAACAGTGAACAAAGTTCACCTGAAAACCATGGCTTGGAGCCCCAGGCGCATCCCTAGTTGTTATGCTTTCTTCCACTTCAGGCACTCTTACCAATCAGTCAGTATTTCAGAGGCAAGATGTGCCAGTTTGTTTTAAGCCCATGAAACATGTTAGTGCCTACTTTAAAAGATTCTTATTCCTATGGTGTGGACAGCAGCATGTAAGCTGCAGCAACACAGTCCACAACTGGCTGAAAAGGGCTTTTAAGTCAAAAATCTTCTGGCAAGCTGGTCCCTTCGACTAACTTGATAAAGGCTCATGAACAGCTTCTGTCAGTTTCACTACACTTGGAAATCAAGCTAGCAAGTATTTATTAGTTCATCACACTTGTATTGCCTCCTTCAGTAACCTATTCATGGTGGGACAGATTGTCTGCATATAGATAGAAGAAGTCCAGCTACTCAAAACAACTGATGAGGACTGCAGAAAGTCACTTGGTTGGTTTATTGTCTAAGGAGAAAACATGACTAAGCTGGTAAGACAGGCTAAGTGTAACATGAGAGGCTCTTTTGTTTCCAAGCCTGTACTGTTATTTAGAGGTGCCCTACAAGTTGTGCTTGTGACTTTACCCTTCACTGTGCAAGAAAAGCCTGAATTTCCTAAAAAGAAGGTCTAAACATTACCTTCTGCACCAGAGCTGCCAAGCTATCATCATCATTAGCATTGCAAAAAGGAAATAGTACTTTCACTATTTGGACAATCAGGACAAAACAAAAGTTCTAAAAATATTCCCTTTAACGGTTTACATTCCAGAAGTATTCCAGACACCTTCAGTTTAAGTTCATGGGTCCTTTAATCAATGGGGAAGTAAGACCAGAATTCACACATACCTAATATTTTTTTACCATTTGTATTTGTTAATGCCCTCTAAAGACAGTTTTAGGAATCAAAGCATCAATTGTACAAGCACCTCAAAAAAAAAAAAAAGAAAAAAAACCACACACACACCACAACCCACAGCATTTAAGCTTCACTGAGCTGCGAGGAGGTGCAAATAAAAGGTACAGATCACTGTGACATTAAAGAATGAACAGCAAGAAGGACAACCAGCACTGGTTATGCTTCGCCCTAATCAATGCTGTGGAGGAACAAGTGCAAGTCCTCCAAGGGGGACAACTGCAGGGTATCCATGCATGGCTGCTGCAGTACGCTCCAATTCACAAGTGCCTGTTAAACTTGGATTCCTGCTTCTCAACTTAGTGGCATATGGTCTGCTTTAGTTACCAAAGTATTAACAGAAACAGTAGGGCTATCACAAAATAGTTCTTAGTTAGAAATACAGTTTATTTCAATGCGCCAATAAAAAAAGCCCAACATTTTCAGATCACAGAACGTTAACACAGGAGTTTTGCATTAGTCTACTAATAAGACTTTTAAAAGATCCAGAGTCATGCCAATTGTTAGTTGATAGAAATAGCCTTCTAGGACTAAGCCCTTACATTTATAAAGACACCACAAAATCCCTTATAATAATGTAAACAAAATAAATTTTCTTCTTAAACTTTAACTTTTGAATCCATTCTCTCAGGACATGCACTCCTTCAAGGGCTTCCTGATGGTGAATGACTGAAAGAGAAAGAGCAGAGTAAGGGTAACTCCTACAGCAAAACCAACAGAAAAATCCACGCTAGCCCATTTCCTCAACCTAGCCCAAGCAGTTGCTCCTTGTTGAGCAACCGCTGCCCAGAACTGGTGCGGTCACTGTGCCTGGTGTGAAAGCTAACCCATTCACCCTCTTCCCCACCCCCATAACGCCTCTTTCCCCCCTTGCACATGATTTGCATTTGAACTTTGCGAATACTGGAAAAAGTGTCATATCTTACAGCAATATAAGCAGCAACTGCCTTAAGCATGAAAAGCCCCTTCAGAAGAAGGCCATCTAGTACAAGGACTAGGTAAGACAGCTGCTGTGCTCAGAAGGACTAACTTTGGGGTCTGCTCCGCAGCTGTTCACAGAGGGCTGCTTACCCTGCCAAAATGAAGGTAAGCTATAACCTACATGCTTCTAGTTTGGAGCTAGGCCATGATTACACTCCTGATTCTTCACGTCAAAACTGCATGAATTCCAGCCTGTACCTCTCTGGTTACATAGAGAAAGTTGCTTTTAATTTAGGCTGCATAGCAAGACTTGGCAGCTGTGCAGCAGAGTAAGAGCCAATTTTAAGTATTACACCAGCAAGAATTCAGTTCGGCCACATGGTTTGCGTTTTGCTTCATACCGCATCATCCCCTTTCCAGCTGTACTCAGAGCCATTTTTATTTTCTCCATTGTCCACTTCTTCCCCAGATTCTAAATTCCTTTAAGGAACTTCTGGAAAGTAGATTCTCATTTGCCCTCGTTTTCTACTGTCCTCCGAAAGGTTCGTTAAAGCAGGTTACATTGCGGGACTCTAGTAATAGAAGAGTAAGTAGATACTAGAGCCCTCTCCTAGGAACAGATTTGAAGTCATGAAGTGCTGACTACCAGCGCTGAAACATCCATGGAAATTCATCTTTTCATAGCTTACACTTAAATTAGGACGAGGAAAAAGTTTTTAGCTTTTATCCCGGCAAAAGTTAGTGTCAGAAGCAGCCACTGCAGATGGTAACGTAGCCAAAGAGCACGCGTGATCCAGTTTTAAAAGATACTCCTACCTTCTCTTTGGAGATGGTGATCTGGACTTTGAGCGACTGAAAATAAAAAAAATTCCAGTCAATGTAACACTTTACATAACAGCCTGTAAATACATGTATATAATATGCATAAAAATATAACAATTCTATGCACTTGGTCACCACTCTTGACCCTTTCAAAACAGTAAATAGCTTGATGTTGCTAAAAACATTCGAGGCATCACCCTTAATGCTGCTGAAAGCAAATACTCCCAATTTAGTCAAACTTGCTTTAAGCAAGGAGCTGCAGTTGAAAAAGAATACGGCTGAAAGCTGGAGCCCTCACGGGAGGGCAACGCACAGCTTCAAAGCAGCTAAAAAGTGTCAACAACAATCCTCCAAAGCAGGAGCAGTATATGAAATGAGGAAAAGAGCCCGGAAGATTAGGAACTACAGACAGTTAAGAACATGGGTAGGCAACAGGTGTGTCCCAAATCCTGCAAAAATACTTGTGGTCAGAGTCATGGGTGAAACAAAACATGATAGATATCCAGTCCCTTTGGAAAGAACAGCGTGCCATCCCATATTAAAAGAAGAAAAAAAAATA